CCAAAATTATTTCTCCATTGCGTCTGGAATAGGTTCGTAAATCTGTAACGCCTTCCTCAGCAGCATGGGCTTCAACCAATTTGATCACTTGATCAGTGATTGGGAGCACCGTAATTCGAGGCCTAGTAACCTCTCTTTTCGTGTTCAAATCATATAGCTTGTGACCTTGTTGCATGTTATCAGCAGGTCCCAAGTAAATCGCTTCAATAGTGCGTGACCGATGATCACTGCGAGTATCATGTCCATAACCATGGACATACGACCCAAATTCAGCAACAAATTCTTTCGAGTAATCAACTTGGCGTCGCAACAAAATCATATGAGGACTGTAATAAGCCGAAATACCCCCTTTGGCGGGGTAAAAGTTGGAAGTCTGTGCAACTTGTTTGGCAATAGCTTCAGTAATAATCCTTGGAATGGCCTTATACGGCATGCGATGGTATTGGACACGGAACAAAGCCTTGATATGTTGGTTGTTTTGTTCCGCCGTGGGATCGTGTTCCCCCCGGCTCGCATAATTCATATCAACATTCATCTCATCTTTAACATCATCAAAAACTGGTCTAAATTCACCATCACAGTAGATAGTCTTGATAGTAAAGTCAGCATGGTTGTAAATGCGCAATACGTGATCGATTGCGTCATACAACGACTCCGCAGTCCTGCTTCGTAGCGGTACAAAGGTTCGGTATCGGACACTACCATCAATTGTGGTCAATCCAAATGTGTTATTGATGAATGCAATATCCAGATGCAAATTCAAATCAATGTTGTGGACCAACAATTCACGTGGGATCTCAACCCAATCATCCCGGACGGCTTCCGGGGTAGGACGCTTAGTCTTTCCTTTAAGAACTGAAGCGTTTGGTCCATAAATCTTGTCAGCAATAACAATGTCTTCTTCTCTGATGGGACAATTCTTGAATAAACCTGAGCGTACAGCAACTTTGAATGCTTCAATCCCTGGTGCACCACCCATGTGATACCCGGATCTTGCAGCGTTTGCTCGGTCAACTTGTCATGGGGTGTAACCCTCTATGTTCTTTTTTACAGTTTGGAGACCAGAGTAACGGGAAGTATGTTGACTAGTTGTATTATCGTTGCCGCCATGATACGATTCACCCGGCACGAAACCACCGTGGGCTCTGCACGACCTGCAGGCTTCACCCGTCGGTCCAATTTCCATGCACACATTGCAATGACTCTCCCCCTCATAGGGATAAGTATACAACCCATCCTTTTCTCTGTAAATCCATTGATTCCCATCTTTGGAAACAAAAAATACATTTTCTACGTCGGTATCCATCACGATACGATACCCTTCTTTTACCAATAAAGACGCACTGTCCACATCACAGATGGCATCAGTCTCATACTTACACATATTATCCATGTGTTTACTCTCAACTTCATGCGTGAGATTCCTTCCTCCTCCGACATTTGTTCCATAATTGAACATATACGGAAGCTCTTTCAATGTTCCCATCTTCGCATTCA